AGCCAGAGCTCTCTTAGGTAACTATCACTGATGTAACAAATGGCAACAAACTTTGTGGCTTGAAACAGCACAGATACATTCTCTCATATTTCTGGAGGTCAGAAGTCCAAAATGAGTCTCTTGGGGCTACAATAAGGGGATCAGCAGGGCTGTGTTCCTTCTGGAGGCTCCAGGGGAGAACCTGTTTCCTTACCTTTTCCAGCTTCCAGAGGCCACATGTTTTTGTTGGCTTATGGCCCCTTCCTCCATTTTCAAGGCCAGCAGTGCAGCATCTTCAAATGTCTGTCTCTCTGACTTCTGCTTCTGTAGTCACATCTCCTCTTCTGACTCTGACCCTCCATCCTCCTTCTCCTAAGGAGCCTTGTGATGACATGGGCCACCCAGATAACCCAGGAGCCTTAACCTAATCACATCTGCAAAGTCCCCCTTGCTCTGGAAGGTAACATATTTACAGGTTCTGGGATTAGGGTGTGACCATCTTTGGAGGGGGGGGGTCGTTATTCAGCCAACCACGGAAGCACTCATCTTTGAAGGGCCCATTCCTTGATTCTAACACGTGTGCACTTTTGTCACGCATCTCAGTTTTTGCTTTGAAACAAGTGATCAGATACCCTGCTCTCTCTCATTCTGGAACCAGATTTGTCAGCCCCTGGGGAAGTCCAACGGCAGAGGCTGCACCTTTTGTGGTGTTTGGAAGCATCTTGCCTGGACCTGTGGCTAGAGGCACACAGCCTTCTGGAATCTGTCCTTCCCACCAGCAGACACTCGGACCAGATTGCTGTTCTTACCCCGCAACTACAGGCAGAATCCCCTGAGTAATAAACACAAATTGTTTTATTGCAATGGAATTAATTTAAAAGAAATGCTTTACAGCACCACCCAATAGAACTGTGATGCTGCAATTGTTGTATATCTGCACTAAAATATGGGTAGCTGCAGCCATATGTGCCCATTGAGCACTTGACTGACGAACTGAATTTAAAATTTTATTGATTTATAATAAACGAATTTAAACCTAAGTAACAACTTGTAGCTCGTGGCTACCATGTGGAAGCAGTGCAATTTGACAAAAATCATATTCCCGGTCCAAAGGAACTGGACAAGTAAGCTCTTCTCAAAGGCCAGGTGCAATCAAACCGCCCACTGCTATCACCTGGGTAGGGTGAACGTGCTGTATCACTTTCCAGTTCCGTGCTCAGTAGTTGGGAGCCAACCGTGATGGGAGAATTTACACCAGGGTATTCTGCAAATGCTACACATCGGGGCTACCCACCCCCACCCTTGGGGAGCTGCAGTATTGAACCTGGACCAGCATACCCCTGTGCATATGCCAGTTTGAGGAGACAGGCCTCCTGAATTGCCTTAGTACAATCTGAGTTTCCTGGACCCCAGAGGGAAAGAGGAGACATTGTCAATTATATGGTACCTGTTGTCAGAGAGGACAACAGTGATGGTCCCTCAGAGGAGGCAGGATTCTCTTAGCCCTTAGTGCCGCACGGGATCTCCTCTCTGGCTTCCTAGAATGGACAGACAGTGCCCTGGACAACTCCAGTACAAAAATGCGAGGGCTTTCAAAGCTGTTGTTTCTCACATCAACCAAGGCCGTTCCTCTGGATAGATGTCAGGGTAATATGGTCATGTTTGCAGCTTTCAGATGTCCATCGTGATCTATGACTACAGCTCAGAATGTTTGGGAAAGGCTAGGTTGCATATTCTTATAGTCGACATCGTTCACTTATTCCCCAAACCTTTTATGGCATTGGCCGTGTGTATAGCACCAAGCTAAGTGTGGGGAATTCATTCATTCATTCATTCATTCATTCATCTATCCATCCATCCATCCAGACAATGTGTTCAGGACATAAAGACAGAGGAAAAGAGGGTCCTCACCTCCAGGTTTTAGCAGACCCACCATTTACAGAATAATTTACCAGATACTTAAGGCTTCAATTTGGAGGTGAGGAAAGTGCTCACTTTGGGTGCAAAATTTACATGGGCACTTAAATCAGTAATCAAGGTACTATATTATTTATCAAAATTAATGCAAAAGTTCACAATGAACAAAATGTCACATTTTAAAATAAAAGCTGGCTGTTGCTTGTTTGATGACTGTGCATTATTGTGCAAGAAGAACAGTCATTTCCAAGCAGCCGGAGGTTAAATGCCCCGCACGGTCCTCCAGGGTGGGTTTATGCAAGTTGACAATGGCATGCGAATAAATTGGGCCATGTGGGGCTTCATATATAGTTGTGTGTGTGTTTGATTGTAGAGTCTTTATTAACGTTATCCGCTTGGCTCAAAATGTGGGAGAATATTGTGATAAGCTTATTTAGGGAGACACATTTGCCTTACGTCTCAGGCTCTTTCCAGATCTCTCACTTTAGCCTCATGACTACCCCAGGTGGTGGATATTATTATTACGACTATCCTACCGTTCCCCATTTCACAGAAGGGAAAATTGAGGCTTGCCGAGGCTTGGCAAAATAGCACAGACATTAATACTGTAATATGGTCATATGATACTTCAAGATGACTGTGTGATAAAAGGTGCTAATTTTTGGTTGAGATCATTTGGAGACAATTTTGATACTGGTGTAACCCTATCTCAGAGAGAGTGCTAAACATTGGGCTGTGTGCAAAACAGGGGCATAGCATACTTGCCCTACCCTCGTCAGCAGCCTGTGGCGAGAATCAAATGACACATGTGCCCTGTACACTTGCGGCATTAATATAAGGGGGCTTGAAAACTGGTTTTTACTATGTAATGTGTTTCCACACCCATGAAAACTTCCCTTCCATCTCTGTGCACCAGCCCACTGGCTTCTCCTTCTCAGAGATAACCACTCGTGGCCGCTTCCTGTGCATTGATTCAGAAAGAGTTTATGAATACATAGGCAATTATACTTCCTACATTCCACAAGTATTACATTTAAGGGATTTATAATGAGCAGAACTTCCAGCACATTATACAATGGTGAACTCTTAAAAATGGCTGGGAAATGGAACATTTGGGGCATCAGATTATTCTTTATAGGTAATTCTAAACCAGGGTTCCTCCACCTCAGCACTATTGATACCCTGGCTTGGAACCTGCTACCCACTGGATCCCAGTAGCATCCCCCCAAACCCCCAGTTGTGGCACCCCAAATTGTCCCTGTACATTGCCAAATGTCCCAGAAGCAGATAATCAAGAGGAAAAAGATGTAAAAGATTGAAAGGGACAAAAAGTAGAGATTTGTGAAGAAAATAGAAGGCGCCAGTATGGAGAAATTAAAGCTCAAAGGCTATTCCGTAAGTATTTGAAGAATCTTTTCATGCAGGATGGCAGCAGCGAACCTTCTATCTCCACAGGGCAGAGCAAGAAGATGTGTGTTTAAATGGAAGAGAAATTGAGCCTGGGCCTACAGACATTAAACATTAACACCAGTTCCTGGCTGGCATTTTCTTTCCTCAGGGATTTTATGAGCAGAGCAATTTGGGATGACTAGGAATTGTTCTCTTGGGGCTTTGCAGTTAAGACTTGAGCATGAAATCTGCATTAAAAAGTAGCCAAAATGTGTATTCCATGATCATGTCTACTATGGTGCCTTTAAGGAAACAAGCAACAATAACTGTTTCTTACAAAAGCAATACATGCTAATCATGGAAAAGTTTGAGAATTCAGCTAAGCTACAAAGAAGCAGCGTGTAAAATACCCCTATTCCCACTAACCAGTGAAATACCCAGGTTATTTTAGTGAACTTGCTTCCTAATTGTTTTCTGTTATATACTGGGGGTGCCAAAAACATGTACACAAGTGGACACTTTGGTCAGTGTTTCTCAAGCAGTAGTTCGCCGTCATCAGAAGTGTCTGGACGCTGATGGGAACCACTTTGAGCACCTCTTGTCATTGCAGACGTCACACGTGACTTGTATTCATTGTTATCAGTATATATTATTACAATTTTAATAGTTTTCCTTTCTTAAAATGTGTATACAGTTTTTTGGCACCCTCTGTATAAAGGTATTTGTGTAGATAGAAATATATCACACCTGTATACATTAGAAGGATCGTTCAGCATATAATGCTTTGGAGCTTGCTTTTTTTCATGTAATACACTGTGAAGGTAATTCCATGTCAAAAAGTATCCACTAGAATATTAATTTTAAGTCTTCCACTGGACAGATGTTTTATAATTTAACCCAACCCCTGTTTTGGGAGATTTAACTTACTTCCGTGTGTTGACATCATAAATAATACTGCAGCAAACTTTCCAGAGGTGATTCTTTGCACTCTCTCACCCTTTCCCCCTAGGATCAATCCCTGGAGGAAACAATACCAACAGGCCCACGGTGTTTTTCAAACACTATGCATACTTGTAAGGCTTTTGGTAGGAATTGCTAAACGGCCCACCAGGAAGATTGTTCAATTTACATTCTCATAGGTGGGATCTGTTTGTTTTTTCTTGTTTTTAAAAAAATCTTTACCAAAATGACAAGTTTCATGAGTGGGAATGGAGGATGTTCAGTGTTATCTCATCCTGTTGAAAACTGTACGGCCCAGTTTTAAGCCTTTTCTGAATTGTCTGTTGGCTGTAATGTTTTTTTACACTTGAGCAATCACCTTGCAAAGAGAAGGTGAAACTAATCTACTGGCAAAAAAAAAAAAAAAGGAAAAAGAAAGAAATCGCCCCACAATGAGGAAGGTGCCTCTACTTTAGACATTTCCGCCACGCGGAAACACAGAGCAAGTCACTGCAGACCGCGGGAGGGCATTTGATAGGATTCCCCCTCCCCCTTGATTCTTGGAACTCCTGTCACAGTAGTCTGTGCAGCGCAGGCTCTGATGACAGGGCTTCCAGTGTCGGGGACGCTGGGTACTCTCTGGATAAGAATGCACCGAGCATAGGCGAAGGAGATTGGCATGGCGGGCCTCCAAAGCCGAGAAGTGACCGAGCCGGCTGGGCCCGGGTGAGTGGCTGGGCGGACCACGTGACGCTCCCAGGCTGACTGGGGGTGGGGTGGGGGAGGCCTGAGCGCCTGAGGCTTAAATCGACATTCACCCCTGGCAGGAAAATGAGCATGTCAGTGTCCGTCTCCATCAGACCTTGAACCCACAGGAGCAGGGGATTTCGGTAGCATTTTAATTCTGTATCTCAGGGACCTGAAGGCAAAAGGTAAGTGGCTTATCATAAACTTGAGAGGAGTGACCTAGAAAATCACAAGGCCACTTCGTTAATTTAAAAAATCTGGTGTTGAAAATAATCGATGGCCGCGAGAGGCAAAACCATATTTGCCTCCAAATTAGAGATTGACCCTCTGAACAGAATTTTTTTTTAATCTAGAGTGAATGGTAGTAAAATTCCCCGGGTTAAATATAGAAGGACATGAAAGCTGCTGGAATAAATAGCAAGCAAGTAAGCCTGGCCAGCTTGGGAAACAATCTATTTCGCATCTCTTTCAGGGGCATGAGCGAAGGGAATGTTCAAATTGTGATTCAATCCCAAGTGGAAGTTAAACGAATCTATATGAAACTGGAATACAAATAAAAACAGTTCCTGCTTTTGTCCTTTCACATTTCGAAAACGTTTATGTGGCTTGGCAAGAAAAGTTGATATGTACACTGCTGAAATTTGAAATAAGCCGTTTCGAATTTACAAAATGATCACAGCTGGAATTTTCTAAGGTTTTCTAGGCAAGGCTGTGTCTGTCCGTTGTGAAAGAGCAATGTTGACATTGTACCCATTTTCTGGAATAGTAAGATGACTCATTTCTGCAGAATGTGATACAAATTAGAAAATGTGAAATAATGAGTTACTGTGAATTAACTCTGTCATGTTGGAGAGATCACTTTCCTTGCCCGAAGATTTAAGAAAACAAACAGGGCGCATGTACAACCATACTCATGCAATAGTGCTTTATTTTAAATAATCAAATGTTCAAGTAAGGAGTATAAATATATAAATATGTGTTGGCACTAATTTTTTCTTTGGCCAATACAGGTTATACTGGAATGTAGCTATTGAGAGTAACTAAAAGCATTATCCATCAGTGCAATTAGTATAATATTTCATAATGAATATGCTTTAAATGAAAGTATTTGATAATCATGTTTTATATACTACTGGAAACATTGACCTTCTATGCCAAGTATGTCCATGCATTCTATATTTTAACTGTCAGTTTGATTTGCAGAAAATACATTTCTTTTTCCATTGCATTTGATAAAGACTTTTAAAAATAAAATACTAAATTATTTCCTTTCATTCCTATTCCCTTTACTGCTAGCTCTCTTGAAATCCTATTACATGCATGGAGCCTGTAATCATTTGGATTTCTCCCTCTGTATGCTGTTTGTTTCCCATAGTTGGTGGAAGGCCAGGCCAGCTGCGCACACTAGCAATCCGCCCAGAACGGAGGCAGGAGCAGGGCCTCCCGGCCACTTGCTGCTCACCTCCAGGGACTTCCAGGGTCTCCTCCGACCCCGTCACCCCGCCCGCCAGCCACCTCCCGCTGGCCCCGAAGGTGTCACGTGGCGGCGGGGGCCCGCCCCCAATGACGTCACCGCGCTCGCAGCCGTCGCGCTGAAGAAAGGATGCTCTAGGATGCTGTGCAGGTGGGCGGCTGGGCTGCGCCATGCGGCACTGCAGGTAAGGGGCACGATGCGCCGTCTCTGCACCCGGCAGCGCCCCAGAAAGCCAAAGTAGGGTCTCTGGCAGCTTCGGCGGCTGCAAGCACCAGGCGCGGGGTTGGCGGGGGGTGGG